CATGCGGAGTTATGTGAGTTTTATGAGAGTGGAGAGGTGATAAGTGTTTGTGACACGACTCCATATTTGTTCACATTGGCCTTATGAGGATAAAAACAAGGAGAATAATGTTCCCTATACACCCCGGTTGCTAATTTATATTCTACAAGACTTTTTGTGCACGCAATCTTCGACTTCACCCAGCCGCTTTTAGCTACTCATAATTCGGGATTCGACTTCCAACGCTAAATAGGAACAGTACTGTTTAACTTTCCTCCCCATTGCGTGTTAACTGTGAATACACCCCCACAGACCGTTGGCACCACTGAACCGAGCTTCCTAGGCCATTTTGATGTACAATTATGATGTGACCAGCCGTGAGGTAGACCTTTTGCAACCACCAAATTTTTCCGTCTTCTCCGACTCGAATTTCTTAGTTCATTGATGACTCACATTAAACCTTAAGCCTTGGCCAAACCACTAGCTCCTCAGAGCTTTCAGTAACGCGGGCTCTTCCGCCCACTGTGCTTCTATCTCATGCATCTACGTCTAGAAAGGCCCTCTGACACCTTCACTCTGCCAACAGAGATGCCGTGCGGAAATTCTGCTACTCACATCCACGGGATGGTTGCAATTTTTTCTGAGAACCTGTCGAGTACCACCAACAACAGAACGCTCCGATTTCTACCTCAATATTCTACGTCCTCTAGACTCCGGAATGAATTTTTTAATTAAAAAACCCTTGAAAAAAACTGGCAGTCCACACCCTCCTCTGAACTTTGTTGTATGTTTTTCCTTGGAAATTTCGTAGTACCATCACAAAGAGGTCATGGATATGTTCGCCAGTAACAGGACCTTTTGGCCATTTAATACACCATTTAAAAGCCTGTGAACTCAATCATTCGGAATGTCTGCTCACCCTCACACTTTTGGTCTAAATGGTGCTATGACCTCGCATGTTAGGAATAGGTCGACACCGTTGCCAAACATTCTGCCCACAACTGTATCATTCGCCCCCCCTCCCAGTGTGTCCTGCGCTGTGGAACTATTTTTCACTGTTGGTAAATTTGACTATGCCTATTTGACAGTGCTCACTGCACTTTGCACCCTTAAACCTTTTGAACTTTATTGTTTCCGAAGTGGCTGTTTACGTTCCCATACCACAAAACTCTCACAAATCATGTTCCGTCTCTTCCGCAGCTCGCTTTGCTTCACTGTAATTCACTCTGCTGGAGGAAGCCCTCCATTAATTACTGTTCTCAAGAATGTTTCTTCATCTAACCTGAGCAGCAACTGCTTAAAACTGTCGCCTCGGATTCTCCAAAGTTTTGGTGTCACTTTTGACTAAAGGCCCTCTACCTGATTAAGAAGTCTCCTGGATGAACACAAATATGAATTTAAATACCATCAGTCTAGTGGCGAGTTGCTTGTGTACATGTCACAGTTATGGTCATCTTCACTAGAAGATTGTGCTGAGGTCTGTCTAGGATGCCTTTATATCTCGAAGACCTTCTATCAGGTTAGCCTTGTTAATCCCATTGCTGAACTGACTAATAGGTACTGACTCGGATTCGTGATACAGATTCAGATACACTTTCCTCACTCGGAGATGTGAAGAGGATGCCTTCCTTCCGGTGCCTGAAGTTGTACCCACATTTTTACATGATGGGACTCTCAACTTTATGAGGGTCGTGTTTCTCAAAGGCCTGATTTATATCGAATTAGTCATTATCAAATGCGTGGCGGCAGTTCTCTGAACACCGATCTTGCAGACACCTATGTTTGACAACCGCTGAACATAATAACATTTAATTTTTCTAGACCCACAGATTTTAGTTCTCCATCTGCAAGCTTCTCTCTTTTCAATTATTTTAATTAAAACGGTCTTTCCTTGACTCGTATATTGCAAACAACTCCACCATTTTTTGTGAATGAAATTAGTTTCAGTCTATGCATCTGAAAAACGGCTTTGTTTCGAACTTGAGCGGTGCTCCATCTGCATAACCGTTGTTCTTCTTTTATTCGGTGGAAGGTTATGCAATTTGTTGTCTCACGTTCTGTGGTCGGTGAGCTGCCGATACTTGCCTACCGTCTGGCTGGGGCTTTCTCGGGCAGTTTTGTCATCGCTATCGTGGTAAACGTTCCACAGAATTCAACTCCTCCTTCCCACACGTTTCTGCTCCTGAAGCCACCCACATCAATTCTTATTCTCTCGTCGCCGATTAAATCGGTATCCTTCCTAAGGGTCTGCGTACCTGCAGGAACCGTATTCCACTTTCTTTTTCCTGACTTTCTAAATTCTTCAACTTTTCAAGACTCTAAATGGTGTTGATCCGTTCAAACCTCTATGTTGCCCTTCGGCTATATTTCAAGCATGCGTTAGGTACTTTCAGTGTCATATATTAGTGTGCTAGTGTAATATTTTACATGTAATATGGTAATATATTCCTTGTACGAGTGGTGGCCTCCGTTTTCAACGAATTCGATATCCAACATTCTCAAGTGAGCCCGCTCACTAGGACTCCTCACTTGAACGTTAACTGTTTCTTTGAGTTATAGGAGAAAATCACCCCACTACACCTCAACCCCATGAGATCTTCCACAGTTGCTTTGTGCTCAGTTTTTTAACATAACTTAAAAATAAAGCCCAGAAACAGAACAAAACAACAAACAACGAACTTGGAAAAGTTGTTCCCTCTGCACAAGTATGCTTTCATGTCATAGTCAAACAAATATGTGGAACTTCTTTCAATGAACAGAACGCCCTTGTTGCGGGGTTTCTTCTGCAGAACTACCGTCTTTAGTTATTAGTGACTAGTATTCTGTTCAATGTTTATCCTTCAGCACAATCAGCTCCCACGTTTGTCGTCGTAAATCTCTATGTGCATAGGTTGCGGTCTATCAGTAAGTGCCTACCGTATTCACCATGTGGACGTTTCTTCAGGACAGGATGTGTAAGACTTGCGCAAACTGAAATGTTTGTTCTGCCATTCTGTTAAGGTTTTAAAACGCAGTTCAGGCTCACCACGTAACGAAAAATAAGGGCATAGCTATTAAATTTGTTAGACCGTGAAATTCGGTTTACAGGTAGTAATAGTTCCCCAAAAGCGCAAATTTTCCTGCCACTTGTTTTCCAAAATCTTTTGAACAACCTGTCAATCTTGGAAAATCTGTTTGAGGAGCTGACTACTTGAGCAGAATGATGCACAAATTTACGCTTGTTTCCAGGCGTATTGTTACATGTTCACGCTTTCCTGCTTGGATTCTAGCAAATAAAGCGTTATCGGCTGCTTGAATCCCAAAAAAACCTAAAAAGCATGCTAAGAAGACAAATCAAGCGGAATATTGATAAGCATATTTCCTCAAGCGTTAAGGCTGCTCCTGATTACGGACGGATCGTTCAAAAACTGTTGGCCGTCAGACAAGCACTAAATATTTCCACTTTGCCAAAACAATCTCAAGATACTCCTTTAGTACTGGCACAATCCTGAAAGGATTGTTGTATGATAAGTTCCTTGGTACAGTCAGTCTTTGGACAATTTTAGGTTGGTGTGATTAGTTGCCTTGTCATTCATACTTGTCACTTGTAGCTTACCATGCAACATTGTTTTCATTCAGATAAAATACATTCTCAAACGTTGAGTTATTTCATTCATGAAACATATGAACAACCTGACTTTAATTTGGTGACCCATTTAGTCAGCCTAAGGTTCAACCAGGCCAATATTCCAACTCATCAGTCTTCTGGCGTCCACACCGCCTCAGTCAGAGAAGGTAGGACGTTTACGGAAACACGTAAATGGTCATCGTTTTTGTTTGAAGAATGAACGCGTCATTTTTCTATTATTAAGAGTACTTTGTGCGACGTCCCACACAATGGCAATCAAGGTACAGAAAAACAAAGCGGATGTTCTATCTGTATCGCGCTCGTCATACGCACTGTTCCTATGGAGACGACGCGGAGCTACTTCACATAACGATGACTTGTTATTTCTTCGGCTAAACAACAAAGTGAAACTAAATTTAGCCACTTTCTCACAAAAGCACCCATTGTTTCAGATCGGCTGTTGCATTCCCCGATTCTCAGGTGGGCATAATGGAAGAGGCCTTCAGTTTGTTTGTCCTTCTCCTTGATAAATAAGACTGCGTTTATTTTTATTATAGAGGCAATTTGCTGAAAATGCATCAACATAGATTTTGACATCCAAATAGAAGTGAACTGTGACAAGCTGCATCCCTATACGACTGTGTAGAATACTTAATCGGTCGACTTTTAAGCGAGTGATTCTAATTTTCAATTATCATGCCTTGGGGATTTCACACACGCCACACAACCAACCGATTAGCATATGATCACCTGGCTTCTAAGCCACAGATGCTGTGGAATCTGAATGAACGTTATACACTACTCATAAGATTACTGAATGTTGTTCTTGCTCATTGTTTCGTACAGCTTTTTCGTCTTTCACCTGACCATTCGATCACAGCAGCTTAGCTAAAGTCACCATGATTTTCACCATGAACAGGGAGCGAGCTGTCCGAAATATGACATGTAGTCAAAATTTTGGTCTAAACGTTCTTCGGTCTGAAGCCTGTTAGGGCTCGTAAAACGTGCATACAATGAGGAGCTGACTGGAGGCCTTTGGATCTTCTTGTGTTCTAACGTTTTCCCCACATTCGAGATATGTAACCGAAAGTTCCACGCTACCTAACGGTGTCTGTTTCATTGCCAAGCATGTATCAGAATTAAAGAGGAGAGGTTGTTTTTAGAAACCCTTTCTCAACTCAGTAATTCAAAGTTAAATTCTTGGTTTTCACCACATATGCGAGCTCCTCTTCGATATGATGAATAGTACGGCGGTATGATGAACAAGCCTACTGCACGTAGGAAGCCACTGTTATGCATTCTCAGGGGAAAACACATGCACTTTTCAGTGCGCGATGAACCAGAAGCGAATAGCGCTTAACAGCTCACGAAGCCCTAGAAGATAGGTTTTTACTCTCTATCTTCATGTATTAAGATAGACTACAGAGGGCCACGATGTTCTGCAGAGGTCGCAGATGGACGAGACAGAACCGAGCAAACAGAAGATTTGAGAACTTTTCCTGTCGTTACTTTAGGTCATGCTATGTTTCGGTACGAAGCGAATACCAAAATCATTTCGACTACAAGCGGGAAGTTGTCCGAGAAACATTTAAAGAAGTGAGAACACATTCGATTCATTCATTTTAAAGAGTTGTTTGATGCTATTTTAATGATTGTGAGGAATGTAAATAGTACGAATTGCTAACTCTGCGAACGTAATCGTTGCATGCGCAACGGGCGCGACGCACAGACAATTTTATCAGGAACGAGAATCAGACATGCCGCTCTTTCACTTGTTCAAACTTAACCCGATGAGCCTAAAGGCAGAAAGCACTGTGCTTCACCATGTGAAACACATATCAAGAACACAGGGTGGTCAGAAAATACAAGACAACTAAAGCAAAAAATGATTATTTGAAAATTAGATGAAGCAAACCAACGTTGAGCGTTTTGATAATTAGTCCTTCAGATCTATGGCGTGTAGTATCTGCCTGAACCCTAATAGCTCAGTTTTATGGCCCTTAATTCGGCAGTTAGCATCGTGAGTAAGAACCTTGTTAATGAATCGACCACAGTTCAAATTCGAAGTGATATGCCACGTTGATCTATGGTTGGAGCTACTGTTCTTGAAAATGTCTGGTGACTAAACACATTCTTGTTCCTTAAGTTGAGCTCCCTTACTTAGATGATGTTCTCTTGGAGTGACTACTTTGCAGTATTTCATTCGAAACTACTAACTTTTTTGAAAATCTCAAATAGCTCCGTCTGCTCTGATTCTACCGGTCAATCTACAATGCTCCATTTTGAAATTAAGTAAATGTCAATCCTGTTGGAAAAAACTTCAGCCTGGATTACTCAGTTTGGCCTTCATCTAGTGGCAGATCAATATGTTGCACAAAATTCACGTCGTGGCCATTTTTTGGTCACATCCTATTTGTAAATGGCAAATATGTTGACCGAACATGAACCCACGTATTGAATGATGTGACTGGGATTAAAACAAATCACCTAAAACCTCCATCAGCAAGGATTGTTCGAAAATAGCACGCCAGAAATCATTCTTCTCAAACGTGAGTTTCACCAAACTTTAGTTTCTCTCGACATGCCATCCACGGACTTCCTCGATATTTCTTAAATTTTTTTTAATTTTATCTTATACCGATGTAGGATGATCGGATTGCGTGTTGTCGTCAACGGTTTTCGAAAATCGCTTGGAAACCTGTATTATCGTAGATTTCTTCAAAGGGTTTTGTTTACATTTACTAAATGATAGCGGTGGACATAACTTCATCTAGTTAAATGAAAGTATGCAATTTTCCACGCTGCCGAATAAACGCATAGGCCTTCAGGAACGTCTGGACTTCTTCAGGTTCGTATATGAGGAATCACATCAGTAATGATGCTAGTCTTAGTAAATTGCTTCCGATTTATTCCCGCTTAGCGAAACATGGGCTGTAGATTAGGTTGTAGATTGACTCGGTGAATGCAATGGACCATCATCTCCGCTACTCAGAGCTTAGGTTTTCAACTAGGGAGCTTTGGTCTATGAAATTGGATTCAGCGTGAGCTGTGATTTACGAAACTTACTGTTGGCTAATAATGCTCCGAAATCTAGCCGAGTTCTCGGTAAGTTCATTCAAATGCATTTATAGGCTAAGAGTCACCCGGCTTGTTGTAGATCCTATTTACCTTGGGCCAAGTTGACGGAACGTGCTTTCTGCTTTTCCCAAATTCCGCCACTTTCGGTGGTGTAGTGTGAGGCAAAAACAAAGTTACTTGCATCTGTTAGAAGTAACATCAGCAATATGTATTTCCTCATCTGTAGTGCTCAGAAGTGTTTGCTGCTGTGTAAAGAAGGACTACACATGCAAAAAAACACTCCGCACACACGAAACCATATGGAACCGACATTCTATAGAAATCATGAACTCCTTCCTCATAGGCGCTTTGCGCAGAATTAACGAAATACTGGGACCGGTATTTTGGTGCACCAAATGCTGAAAAATGCTCAACTGTTAGTGCTTTGAACTGTACTACTTTCATAGATGAGGTAGGTTGAATATTTCTTGCGACATCGACCAAGTTACAAACCTACGGGGCGTCCGAATTTATCCAATCCATGTGTATGCAGTAATGTGGAGTTATTCTGAACTAATGTGGACCTGATCTCCTGGTTTTTCTAAAGTGAATAATTTACTTCTAATGAAAGAAGAATTCAATTTTGGATGGTATCCTGAACTACTCATCAACAACCACTTGATGACTGACTAGTTCTCGAGTTCATGCGACTACTGGATTGAAAATACACTCCATCTAACTTTGTGTTGTTTCACACGAACCAGTTTGTGCTGTAGTCATAACGTCATCCGTTGTAATGACACCTTTCACATTTAACACAGTTGAAGTTACACAAAGTCTTTTTATGTTACTTCCGTCGTCAATTATTCATCTCCCGATTTCTGCCATTCACATAAAGCTTACTCCATAAATCATACATATTTCTGTATGCGCCATCATAACAACAGGTGTTGCTTGGTACCGGTTGAGATGTTCAATTCCATATGCCACTGAAATCATTCTGTTGTAGCTCTTTGTTGTGGCTCATTAATGAAACTCAGAGTCAACCCAATTGTATACGCTTTTGTGCTCATGGATGGCACCACGTGCCCGCCTTTTCGTTTGAGGTCACCAAATGGAACGTTGCCATGCTCAACGATAACGTTAGATGAAAAGTGATCGAGTGATCCGTGGCTCTTGTAAACTGATGAGACTCGCTACACGAGTGGATATCACCTAACTCAGTGCCACTGTTGGCTGAAAGCTAAAATCGACGCTTCTCCCTGATGGGACCTAAGGGCAAATGGATGGAGAAGATAGCACTAGGGGGGGAGTTATCACTCGGGAAACAGGTCACAGCCACACTTCACCCAGTGAATCAGTTTGATGTAAGGATACATCAGATATTTCGTTGTGCTATACCCTCCGACCCAGAGCATATACTTCTCGCAAATTCAATGGTATGAAAAAATTAGTTGACCTTTAGTGGCTCAAATCACCTTGTACAGGACCCACGTCCCTTCTAAGATAAGAAATAGTGTTTTCCCCGGTGCAACACTACTCCGTTCGGGTAAGAAACAGGCTTCTGTGAAGGCGATGATGATTCGCTTATCATATACTTGTAAACTGAGATACGTGATCCATCCAGGCCCGAAGCTGTTACATTTTCTCCCTTGGGTCGAACTAATTCAAGTTCATTTTTCACTTAAAAGCCACACGTACTTTAAACAATGATTAGTGTTAGCGGCTGATCCATAAACATTGGGTGAAACGTCGGGTCAGCAAGTGACCTCTGATATCTCCAAACTAATGAAACACTCACCCCTGAGCAACGTCAGCCTGAATCACACATTTATAGAACCACATACAACCAATCAAATGGTTTGGTTATTTGGCGCCAGGGAGAGGCCCTCGTTAACAAATATATCAGAACAACAGAGACGAAATGCTGAGCCGGTCACATCTGGGCTGCAATACATAAACTTGTATCACAAAGCGCCTTGATTTTCGACATTGATTGGGCAGATTTCTACTCCCTAGCTACAGTGAAGCTAGGTAAGTCGGTCGGAGAATGAGAATCGACGGAAATGTGTTTTTTCCTCAAAACTAATCTAACATGAAATAACTATGGGAGGCTTAAACTTTCCCTTGATGTAATAAACATTCCATTTTCCTCTAGACATTAAGGGCCAGTAGGCGCTAGCTCTAATGTATGTTCACCGTTTTACGTCCACACCGTATGCAGCACTTCGAGGAAACCTGTTGTGACATGAGCACTTCCAGTTGCGTAATGCGGGATGAAATTTTCGATTTGAAATTCCAAACTGTCCTAATACAACCTATAAAATCCCTCGAAATTGATTTCAAACAACGGAAAGAGATACAGGTAATGGTATGCTGTGTCAAGAAGCACCAGGTGTAGTGAGTTGAGTGATCGTACAGCCGTTTATATTGCTCAAAGACAGATTATCCTTGCTACATCCAATGACAACTTTGCTGGAATTCCACCAGGATAAATCTTTTGTAAGAAACTGACTTACTGCACAAATGCCCATAAGTGAGACCAAGCAGACCCGCGTCACGGTGCAAGTGAACGATGTTGATGTTATCACAAGGCGACTAAGATTTTCATTCAGAAATGTGGAAGCCTTCTGGTCCAAGCATGATTGTCTACGGATGATCAATAGTATTTATAATGCATATCAAGATGCTGGCATCGGTTGTTTATTAACTTCCACTGAAACCTAATGTTCCAGCTCCCCAAAACTGCTTGACCCAATAGTCTTTGTATTGCTGTCAGGTTGTCTCAGATAGACCTCCGTTCAACTTTGGATCAAACCCAAAACTCTGAGAAAAGATACCACGATTCCTGTCATCTACTACGAGCACACTAGTGACCGGTGAACTTGCTTGTTCTCATGAGGTGACAACCTCGGATTACGCTCAACATTGCACGATCTTTAATCATTTACTTGCGTTCCAACATTCGTACACGAAGTGCATGAAAACGCTTTAGGGTTCTAAACATAGTTGTTTTATCTAACTGCTGTCCCCACTCCATGCCTAAATCAATGCTCTAAATCAATACTCACCAACATGAAACACAACAGCATTATTGCGAGCAAGTAGGGGCGAAATTTACAATGGATCTGGTATTAGTTAAACTGTACTTTTGACCTTCAATCTAGACTGTTAAATTGGCATTGGTCGAATGCACATGATCATCCAGCATCGCTTCCATGAGATGCCTGTACACTCATCATCCTCGGCCGTGCTTCTTCGACATGACTGAGCACTCGCGATCGTTGCTGAATTGATTGACTGGCTAAGTGCCCAATGAGAAGCTAGCTTTTCTCCCCCGGATTCTTGATGGCTTCCCAACTGCGATTTTTTCAGAGTCTCAGTAAGTTTCGCGCATTCTAAGGTTATCTCCAGGTATCTGACCTATCTAAAAATAACCTCCCATAAAGCAGATCAGCTGGTCTTCAGACCTTTATACTACTTGAAACCAAGGTCACATGTTCCCAATCCTATCTAGATGTGATTACAGAGGAAGAGTT